CTGTCTAGTGATAATAACCCCAATCAATCCTGCAAACATGTTCTTATCAACGTGTGATTGTTTCTATACTAAGTGTTGAATCTGCTTCCCTAAGTTTACATTTAGCTGGCTATTAAATTCTATGATTTGGTCAATTGTTTGCCTAATATATTCAACTTGGTCGTGTTTGTTTAAACCCCTCAATTCCTGTCCCTCAACTTTAGTCTTTTCTCTTTCACCTCTTTCTTAAGTTCTCTTCTTAGCCGGCTGAAAGCCAAGGCTATTCTGGTTCTGTCCTTTGACCTCTCTCTAGTGTGAGCATTGCTCGTGGTCCATATGAGGCCCTTGTGAACTCTCACACATTAGAACTTGGTCTCTAGTCCCTCCTCTGAATGATCTCTGTGAACTTCCCTAGTGTGAACACTGCCCTGGGTTCCTGAAGCCCTTGGGAACTCTGACACACTAGGGACTTGGGTTCTGTATGCTCAGCTTTGATATATGGGTGAATCACTCAACAACTGGTTATTTTGTATCTATGAACATGAATTTTGGAGTTGTTGTAGGTTGAAGGCTTGTCCTGTCCAGGTGTATTTGGGCCTGCTGTAGGCTCCCTATAGTTATACTTATTCTGTAATTTAAATTCTGGTCTGTAATAATTATTTGTAATAACAATTTAGGGTACCAGTAAAAATTGGGGAAGGGTTTTTATCCTATACTTGCACCAAATTGGGTAGAAATCCTGCCTATAGGTTCAATAATGTGCTATTGCTTGCCCAGTTATCGTGTGTTAGAAATCCTGCCTATAGGTTCAATAGTGTGTTATTGCATGCCCAGTTATCGTGTGTTAGAAATCCTGCCTATATGTTCTATAATGTGCTATCGCATGCCCAGTTATCGTATGTTAGAAATCATGCCTATAGGTATCCTATTATGCTCAGCCATTATATGTTAGCAATCCTGCCTATAGGTTCAATACTTGGTTTAATCGTGTTAGAAATCATGCCTATAGGGAATCGTATATTCAATGTGTGTGCAAAAAAAACCTCATTCACATGTTGTTCTGTTTACAAATTATAGAAATCATGTCTATAGGATCTAAAATTGGAACAAATTGTAGAAAGCATGCCTATAGGTTTGAATCAACCTAATTTTTTCCCGCTTATTCATGAGTCTCTAAACACTGTGCTGTTACTCTCACTAGAAAACATGCCTACAGGATTAAAACAAATACTTCTGGATATGTTTCTGTGATTGCCATAATTTATATCGCGTAAAACACCTAGCCATCATGCCTATAGGTTTAATCCCCTTATGTTTAAAATTAGTAGGCAAATCATATAGGTTTTGGAAAGTATAATGGCTTTTGCATATAATTGTCCGCCCATTAAATCCAGATTCATATAGAGATCCTGGCTATAGTTTTCTGTAATCTTAGTTATCTAAAATCAGCAACTGTCTTTGTTAATCTGACTAGCGTACATTTGTTGACTAATTGCGGAGGCCAACTTGAGCCCTTACTTGCTCTTAAATGAAAGTCCAATGTGTTTTGAATGTCGCCTAGCTTTTGACATTTTTGAGCAGCCTAAGTTAAGGTCTAGAACCACCCTGAAATAGAGGTCCAAATGCCTCCTGGACTATAGGTATGGGACGGGTAGTGCACGCATAGGATACGACTTAGAATTGACTAGTGCGCTTTAGGTATACAACTTAAAGATAGTAATTGAGTAGTAGGAGATGATAGTCTGTGCCCGCTGAATAATATGAGTAACACCCCATCTTGAGGGAGTTACAAAGTATTATTTATGTTGCACGGGGTGATCCTTTAGGCTAAAAAATTTAGGACCCCCCACCTTGTCTTTCATCAATTATTTTTGTTTAATAATGAACTTCCTGAATCCCTTGTTTCTTAGTTCTGATCACATAAGACTAATTCATGTAATTGAGTTCGGCTGGGACCCATAGTTATGGACCTCGAAGAGTGCCTAACACCTTCTCTTCGAGGTAATTTTCGAGCCCTTACCCGATCTTTGGTGACGCAAACTGGTTAAACCAGAGTTATTTGAAAATAGGTTCCCTAACGCACCTTAATCCGTTAGGTGGAGACTCTTTCTTTTAAAACCCTTCCTTAAAAGAGTTGTCACGTGTCGAAACCCGATTTCGCGAGAAAAAGGGTCATGACAGAGGTGAATCGCTAATATCTATTTCCCCAAGCGAGTCACTTGGGGCGTTCTCTTCGTTTTGAAGGGCTTCAAAACTGGCCCCTTCAGGTACGTCCACCGATTGCCCATCACGAGGGGAGGCATCTTCGGCCTCCGACGACTTGGGGTTTTTGCTCGGGCCATCTTCCGAGATCTCTCGGTCCGAGGCTGAACCTCTTCGATCGTCACCGGCCCAGCAGCCTTTGGGACCTCGGTGCTCCTCTTTCGAGCCACCAGCTCGAAGGCAGCATCTTCATTCACCTCTTCTTCATCTCGTAGTCGCTGAATTACATCCGCAGGCAGGACGGTAGTATCTTTCTTCGACTTGCGAGCCTTGCTCTTCTTGGGCTTTGGAGTATCAGAGGGCAAGACCCTTTTTCTCTTCTTATCCTTGGCCGGCTTTGGGGCATCCTCCTCCTCCCAGACATTATCTCCGAGACATGTATGAAAGGAAATCAAGTAGAAATAAAAAAGAAACATTTCAGAGAAGAGCATCAAACACGAGTAAAGAAGCTTATCGTGATTTTTGGCCTCCCATCAGCCCTTTGCCAAATTGCGTCACGAGCGCTCAGCATACGAAGAGGTCGAGGCCAATTTTCGAACCCAGTCCTCAAGGTTCAGGATTGCACCAGGCACCCAAGAAACCGCTGCATCATAGGAAAGGATGTCAATAAGAAAATGCAAAAGAAACAAAACATTAAACAGAAGCTATAGGTGGATTTGTACTCATGCTTCATGTTCCATTCTTCGGGGAATGGCTTCTTCTCAGCCGGGGATATGTCGGAAGTCCTCACTCGTACCAAACCGGCCCATCCATCCTCATTCCTTGTCCTCGTCTATGCTCGAGAACAGCACCTTGGTAGCCCGACACTGAAGCCTTATTAATCCGCCTCGATAGAGACGGGCGTTGTACAGTCTAATGAGATGGTCAAGGGTAAAAGGCATCCCTTCGACCTTGCTCACAATGAATCGAAGCAAAATGACAATGCGCCAAAAAGAAGGATGTGGCCTAGGGTTATTCGGTATTGGCAGCAGAAGTCGAGGATTACAGGATCGATAGGACCCAGCGTAAAAGGGTAGGTATAAACACTTAAGAACCCTTTCACGTAAATAGTGATGTCCTCTTCGGGGGTCGGAAGAACCACCTATTTGCCTTCCAATGGCAATCTTTCTTCACCTGCTTAAGGTCACCCTCAGTTATCGAGCATATATATCTCGACATTGGCTCACATCGGCCAGGGACCAACGAGGATTTCTCAACTTGAAATTGGAAGTAAGATCGCACACCCCGGGAATACACTCCTCATGCGTGGCTCCACCGGCGTTTTATCGTCGGCCGCCGCGATGAAGAAGCTTCTTATTTTGAGGAACAGTTTTTGATGTTTTTGCCATTTTGTGTGTATTCAGAGAAAGAAGAAGATGAGATTTGTTGTTTTGAGAAAAGGTTGACAACGGGATTTGAAGAACTTGCAGAATTGAAAAACTTGACGGAAGCAAAGTGCTTTGAAGATTAAGAGAAGTTTTGAAAGTAAAGTTTGAGAAAATTATGAGGAAGATCTATTTATAATGTTTGCTATGACGGTTTGAATACACTAGTGGCCGACCATCAACTGGCGCTCATTAATGATTTTGGGAACTATACTGACGCGACACTTCAGTCGCTTACGTCACGAGGGTGACGTCATAACTGGTCGAGGTATAAAATCGAAGGTTCAGTTCGTTTCTTCTCATCACACTCCAAGAAACGAGGGGACTATCTCTGTACGGTTAAAATAGGGCTTGCCCGATTTTGCCATTTAATCGAGACCAGGGAATCACGTCGAGGGTCCGCCTCGTAATGCATTGGGCCAGGGCACGAAGATAAGGTATCAAGCTCGCAAATCGAGGTGCTTGTTGAGGTTGAAGCCAACAGCGATCGAGACCAAATATGACTTCGAGCGAAGCGCAATAACGGAAAGGCGAGATATCCATAACCGGTCGAAGATCATGGCGAAAATCCCAGAAAAGATCAAATCAAGGGTGGTTATTCATGCCAATCATGGGATTTACTTCCGTAATTAGAACTGTACCATAGATAGGATTCTTCTACTATATAAAGGGGTTCTGATCACTTTGTAATGACCTCACATACACATAGATCAAAGCAATATAATATCTCCTAGCTTACATTCTTGTTCACCAACTTGTTATATCTTTCACTATTCTGGTATTAATCTGTTCGAGGGCATACGAGCTCGAAAGCTCAATTACGTTGCAACACCGGTTTGCTTTATTTTATTGTCAATTCCCATTGTTCATCTTTGCATTTATCCATTAGTATTAGGTAAAATCACGTATCTTTAAAACCAAATTATAAGTTTAAATTGTTATCCAATTTTTAAGATAAACAAAAAGTTAACCCCAAACCAACCAAAAAGCATAAAGCACGCCAACTGAACTACTACCAAGTATCAACCTCCAACAAACAGCACATAATACTCGGGCCTAACAATTTATTGTGGTTGTGCAAGAACTGATTCCTAAACCAGATTCCATCTAATAATGATTAATTGGACTTAATTTTGAACTCTGGTACTGGCAAGCTCATTGAATATTTGGTACCTCACCAGTAAAGGTACTTAGATAACTATATACACCAAAAGCTAGACATATGAAAAGAGATCATATAACATTTTTTTTTAAATATCTACTAGTCTTTCCCGCTACATTGACTTGTAGACCACACCCTTGGATAAGTACTTTCTCAAGAAAGACTTTCCTCTATTTATCATAGCCAGAATTAAGAAGGGGAAAAAAATAAAAAAATAAAAAGGAACAAGCATAAAAAGAAAGTTTGAATGCGATCCGATTGAGCATCACTTCGGTGTACCATTTGATATATATCCGGTTCAAAAATACAACTGAAATGCTTTAATAGAAACTGAGCACCAGGAGCACATTAAAATAAAGATGAAATCATTGAACATCAATTATCAAAGTTGTTATTGGGACGGATAAGAGAACGCTGAAGGGAAACCACAGTAAAAAGGAAATAAAAGGAAACAGCTTCTCCCAATAAAAACCATCAGGAAGAAGTCAAAAGACAATTTGAGGGGCAGTTCCCTCACTGTTGTTCATTGTCAGCTTTGGTTTCCTTGATTTCATCAGCACCATCATCCTGTAACACAAGCAGAAATGTAAAACTATCAATATTTGGCCAACGCTTTTTGATTCAAAGGCAAGAACTCTAGTATTACAGCTGACAGACGAGAAGGAAACAAATACAAACAAGTAGTACTCAAAATAGCAGAGTTATTTACCTGCATATCAGAGGTCCAGAGAGTAAGATTGTCACGAAGCAGTTGCATGATCAAAGTGCTATCCTTGTAAGACTCCTCTCCCAGTGTGTCCAATTCAGCAATTGCTTCGTCAAAGGCCTAGCCATATATCAAAAAAAAATAAGCTGAAAAGGGAGATACACCGACCAGAAAAACTAAACATTAATCTTGATTAGTTGGGCTCAACTATATGAATATCCATTAATCCCTTTTTTGCCCAAGTCAAATCAATTAAGCAACTAGGCAACAATTCCAAACAAAACTCCAACGTAATTGTTATGCTTTATACAGGCTTAAATCATTCCACAAAGGGCCTTAATTCAAATCTAGATGACATGACAAGAGATTAATACCTGTTTAGCAAGATTGCAGGCACGATCAGGAGAGTTCAAAATCTCATAATAAAACACAGAGAAGTTGAGAGCCAGTCCAAGTCGGATTGGGTGAGTTGGGGCAAGTTCAGCATTTGCAATATCCTGCAAGCATCCAGACCAAAATGAGCAAATTTGAAGATATGCAACATAATCTTTACTCATATAGGGAAAAAAATAAGTGGACCAAATAGATGTCATAGATAATTTTTTGTAAAAGAATGACCTTTAATTATGTCAAAATAGGGTAGAGTGGAAAAACAAAGGAAGCAAACTGAAAAATAGGGAACTCTTCCAAGATCTCCCCTGTTTAGCTTTTGCAACACTAACCCTTTTTGCACTTTAAGATATCACACTCACCTCCATTATTTATTATTATTACTCACTCTGTCTCAATTTATGGGACACTTTTTTGTTTTTTGAAATTCAAACTTCTTAATTTTGACCATGTATATGACCATAAAAACTTTAAGTTTTCCAATATAAAATTTACATATTTAAAAACTACGTAGAAAATACTATAAGCCACAATAATTAATAATCCAAATTATTTATAAGCATATGAAAAAATTGCGGTAAAAAGTACTCACTTTGTTCCAATTTATGTGAACCTGTTTGACTGGGCACGGAGTTTAAGAAAAAATGAAGACTTTTGGAATTTGTGGTCCTAAACAAGTCAAAAAGGGGTCCAAAGCATTTGTGTGGTTATAAAAGCTTCTCATTAAGGGTAAAATTGTAAGTTTAAGTTAAATTGTTACTAAATTTAAAAAGGGGTCAATTCTTTTTGGAACGGACCAAAAAGGAAATAGGTTCATATAAACTGAAACAGAATGAGTAACTCCTTTAACTCTCGAAATCCGAACATTGTCACATAAATTATGACAGATAGAGTATTATTTTTTAACAAGACTAGCTAAATGATAAATTTTTATAATATTTTAAAATTTCATTAACTACTTAACACTACTATTTTTTTGTTACAAGTTACAACCCATAACGACAAATAACTGATAGTGTGTTTGGCCAAGCTTCTTTTTGGCCAAAAGTGCTTTTTTTTGGCCAAAAGCACTTTTGGCCAAAAATTGAGGTGTTTGGCCAAGCTTTTGGAAGGAAAAAAAGTACTTTTGAAAAGAAGCAGAAGCAGTTTTGGAGAAGCAGAAAAAAGTAGCTTCTCTCCAAAAGCACTTTTTTGAGAAGCGCTTTTGAGAAAAATACACTTAGAAGCACTTTTTTAAAGCTTGGCCAAACACTAATTGCTGCTCAGAAGTGCTTTTTAAACTAATTAGCCAAACACAAACTGCTTCTCATCAAAAGTACTTTTGAGAAAAGCACTTCTCAAAATAAGCTGATTTTTGCAGCTTGGCCAAACGGGCTATGAGTTTTAATGAATTGTAGCAATAAGGCCATACACAACGTGTATTTAGGGTGGGATTGCACTGGATTTGTTGTTGGTGTTGTTTTATCAATACAAAATAGCATAGAAATTCATAAATAAAATACGAAATATTTATAGGATTATTTTTTTTCTATTCAAATTGTAAATGGACACAATAGATCATTTCTTTCCATGAAAAATTATACTTCAAGTTGTTCACCACAACCCTTTCTCAACAATAACTTGGTCGTTCAGGGATTTCTTCTTTAGTCTAGACACCTTTTTATATTCGGAAATAATTTAAAATAAGCAATCAGAATTTACATTTAATGACATATCTTGTTTGGACCAAATTAATATAAAAGTTTATCTTTTTACTTGTAGAGGAAAAATGAAAAGATACGTCAAACTCTCGCCGCTATTCATTCAAGTTCGTGGGCCTAAGACACATTGTAGCCCTAGGGACCTAAGTTCCATAATATCTTATGAAATTCCTATCACTAATTCAACCCAAAACAAAACCTAATTAACATCAATCTCCGGGGAAATCAGATAAATCCAATCTGAAAATAATCATTCTACACAAATAGATCCATGAAAATTCATCAATTCAAAGATATAAGAACAAAGACGCTATACCTGAGCGGCTTTGTAGGCGGAGAGAGTACTCTCAGCGGCTTCCTTACGTTCAGCACCAGTCTTAAACTCAGCCAAATAACGATGATAATCACCCTTCATTTTAAGGTAAAACACCTTAGAATCACCAGTAGAAGCAGAAGGAATAAGACAAGAATCAAGGAGCTTGAGAATGCCATCACAGATATTGGAGAGTTCAGATTCAATCTTAGATCTGTACTCCTGAATGCATTTCACGTGGTCCTCGTTTCCCCTCGACTCCTCCTTCTGTTCGATGGAGGAGATTATACGCCACGAGGCTCTACGAGCCCCAATAACGTTCTTGTACGCAACGGAAAGGAGATTTCGCTCCTCTACTGTGAGTTCCTCAGACGTCCCTAAGGACGTCGAGACTTTCTCCATGAACGATACCATTTCCTCGTATCTCTCGGCTTGCTCGGCAAGCTTCGCCATGTACACGTTCTCCTCACGCGCCATAATGAATTCTAATTAGGGATCTCTTTTCTTTTTGGTTGTGTTAATGTTGATTTTTTGAGATCTGGGGAGTTTGTGTGTTTTCAAGTGGATTTAAAACAAGGGCATTTGCTGTTGGACTTTTTTTTAGGGATGGGAGAGGTTTTAGGAATTTTTTTATTTATATTATTTAATTTTTAAATATATTGGTGATTTGGTAGGTTTAATATGAGCCGATGGATTAGGAGATGACAGCTGGATTTTGGAAGTTGTGATTGGACGGATATGGGCCGAAATTGGGCTACGTGGGTTGTCACGTCCGGCCCGTATTTTGACCGATCAATGTCTGTTGTTAGCCGTTGTTTTTTGGTTGATTTTAACTATGTAATGGAAGAATGATTCTAAAATAATAAGTCGCCTGCCACTCACCTCTCTTGTGGAAGTCGCACATTTATTTTAATTCTTGGAAGGGGAGGCTTTGTAATGTGGACAAATTGGTATTTTGCGTTGTAGGGAAATTAGGACAGTTAGGTAACTTTTTAAATGATACTCCTTCCCGTCCACTTTTACTTGGTACATTTTGACTTTTTACATTGTTTACCTTAAAAATAGTAATAACAATTAGATTTAATTTTGTGATTCTAAAAATACGTAATTTATTTATATGCTAGTTGTTAAACAATATATGCTAAGTAAGAGACTAGAAAATAAGATAAGAGCTTGAAGATAGTATGTTTAAGCAAACCGAGTGGCTGAGAATCGGGGCCTGAGGTCGAGCTCGATTCTACATTATGGACAGTCGGTGAAGGACTAACAGCTTTGAGAGCTTTGATGAAGGCTCTTTATGATCTATAAGGAACAATAAATGAAGAACAATTAATGGCACACAATAAATGTAAGCAATAAATGTAAATAATAGAATCAAGGGAGAATGTATTTAAGTTAGAGAGCAGAGAATGTTCTTGTATTCAATGTTGTGTGTTGTGTTCTGTCTTGTATCCTCCTTACAAAATGACAAGGATCCCCTTTATATATGAGGGAAAATCTCAGCATGGTGCAGATGCATTTATTACAAAGAAATATAGTTGGTACAGCTATTTGCTAGTTTGGTACAAACTAGGGCTTCTCTTGCAGGTTTTGTCAGCTTTGATCATATGCCTTGGGAACTTCCCGCTTTCTCATGATAGTCATCGATTTGCACCGCCTCGAGGTCGAACGTTAGGAAGAACTTCGAGCCTTCTGGGGGCGGTCTTCACGAGGTGCCTTAATGATCACAAAATCGGACCCTCTGATTTTTACCATATACAGATAGTCCCCGCGTTTCTTAGATTAAAATGATAAGAAACGATTTTGACACAGATCTCCTCGAGCCTCTTGTGATGACGTCATGCTTATGACGTAAGCTTTTGTGAGAACTGAGACGTCCCATCGGTACATCTTTTCTAGAGGCATTCAATGTAGGAAATGGTTCTCGTAGAAATTGCGCCGAGGGTGTACCTCAGAGAGTAGATTAGACTTTTAGCTGTTATTTTTTGCTTCTTTATTTCTGTAAGGACCCTCCGTGGGCCTTTGTAACCATGTGTAAGGGCCCTTCGTGGGCTTTTGTAATCATCGTTTATTAATACAAAAATGTTTCTTCAATTTGTCTCTGATTTGTGCTGAATTTCCCTTTATTTGCGTCTGTGAAGAATCTAAGCATGCGACTTTACTGATCGGTCCGAATACCATACCGGGCGTAGGTATTCCCTCGGTCCCCAATTGGTTAATACGACATTCCCTGGAACCCTTTGTCGTTCCTCAAACTAAGCCCAGATTGAATTGATACAAACTTAGGCCGCCGGGACCTCTGACTTCGAATTGAGCGAGAGTGAGGCCTCGAATTAAAACAAATTTTAGCCTTTTAGGTCCTGTTGGTAGTCCTCGAGGGAGAATTTGCTCGAACATCCGAGGATATAGATAGCCCTTAAATTTTCACAGACAGCCCCCGAGTGGGAGTTTGCTCGAGCTCGGGCGGCCTGAGAAGCTTGATTTGGACTTAGAGTGAAGATAGCCTTGAGGCATTATAGATAGACCCCGGATGAAGGTACGCTTGGACTCGGATGGCCCCTGGACTAAAGTAACCGTGAGGGCGTTTAATCTTGATCTAAAGGCGAAAATAGCCCTAAGGCTTTATTAGTAATTCTCGAGTAAGAACTGGCTCGGGCTCAGGTAGCTCGAGGGCTAAAGAACCGGGTAAATGACCCGTATCTGCAGAAATCCTCGAGATAGGGTACCACCTCGAGGTTAGGTTTATATGAATAGCTCCTTAGAGCTTGTCTTTTGTTTTGACAGAGATCCTCGAGATCGGGCACCATCTCGAGGCATAGAGCGATATTGATGGCCCCTTAGAGCCTATCTTCATTTGACAGAGATCCTCGAGATTGGACACTATCTCGAGACTAGGTTGATGCGGGGGTCTTTGATCCTTCAAACATCGTACGACAGCGTCAATCGTATGACGCGGTTGTGAAATAACCGAGGTGATCATGCCGGTACGCCTCCCTGGAAGTGGTAATGGAGCAGCAAGCATTTAATTGGCCTTTGGGGCAGGCGGACAGTCACCGCTTGCTCTATATATAGCTTTGTCTCCCCTTTTTTGAGGATCCCGCTATTTTGAGCAGCTATCCTTCTTCATAGAGTTCTTCTTCCTTGCGTTAGGTCTTTCACCATTTTTAATTTTGAAGCCTTCGCTTAAGTTACCGCTCCCCCTCTCTTGTTTCAACATAGTTATGGCTGCTACCCTAGGATCCATTTAGCAAGGAGAGGAAAGTTCTGCCTCCGGTTCCCGCCTGGTCGGTGGTACAGCGCCGATGCTAGGTGAGCCAACCTCGAGACGTTTTGTCTCGAGGAAGGACCCTTCTCCAGAAAAACCTCCCAATGTTCAGGGCCATTGGGAGTATGCTTCGAAGTTCATTTCTCTAATAGGAGAGGGGCACCTCGAGTCAGTGAGGAAAGATTGTGGATGGATACTATTGCAGGTACCTTCCCCGGAAGAGAGCATCATGGATAATGCAAGGGGGTTTTTGAACGTATACACGTACCCCTTTATGCTGGGCCCTCTCGATAGAGTTGTGCTTGACTCCTGCCAAAGATATCGGGCTACCCTGGCACAGGTTCACCCGTCGTTCTGGAGGATAGTGCTGATGATGAGGTTCTTTGCGGAGGAAGCCGGGCTCGAGTTCACCCTTAGCCGTCTCATTAGATTGTACCGACCCTTTCATTACCGAGGCCTTATAGCTTTGCGATGCTGATCCGTCGGTCCCTTTGTTGCCGATGATGAAGAAGATGGGGACCGAGGGTGGATGAATCGATTCGTCCGAGTAAGGACTATTGATATTATCCCTGTGGAGTTCCTGCCATTTCCTGAGAAATGGAATTTTACGCGTAAGTGGTACACTTGCGCTTTTATCATTTGTTCATGGTGGAGGCGGGCTCCGTAAAGATGTTTTCCTTTCTTTTTTACAGCAATCCCGTGGATGCCATACGAGGTCCCAGACCTGGTGGATTGGACCCTGAAGCTGGTAGCTCGCGCGACCTACGATGGGCGTAAATGGCGAGGCCTGTCGAAGGATAGATGGGAGGCAAAACGTCACGGTACGCGCTGTGCGGTTCATTCCCTTTGGAAGGTATTTTCTTTTTCGTGTGTTAACTCCGTTACTACAGGCATTGAAGAATTCCCTTAGATGAGATCATACCCTCTCGGAGAGAAGGAAGGATCATCGGTTTCGGGGCCGAGGAATGATAACAAATGAAAAAGACCTTCGAAGGACGAAGGTGCTCATAGCAAGGCAAGCCCTTCCCGGAGGCTTAAAGAAGATGTATCGGCCGAGCCTACAGCACCTGGGGCTTCAGCCCCGAAAAAATGGTTCTCCCTCTGCCGCCGCCTTCTGTTCCCGTCGAAGGTACTTCGAGGGATACAGGTGTTCTGCCGTTGCCTTCATATCCTGTCGAAGGTACTTCGAGAGATGTTCGAGGCCAGGGGCCACCTAAGTCAGGCGGGGTGTCGAGTGATCATATTCCCATCGGGAGTGGTTCTACTGGGGTCGATGAGACCAGGCCAGTAGACGTGCGCTCAACCTTTGAGGTGGCTCAGAGGCTCAGTTCTGTAGTGAGTCTTGATCGACTGCTTTGGCTTTTCAATTTTGCACTTTTTTATTTCCTTATTGAGATTCTTTTTCATAGGCCTTTGATAAGCTTAAGTCCGAGCTGCTCCGCCGTGAATCTATTTTGAGGAGAGCCTTTGATGGGGAAAAATCCCTCAGGCTTCTTTGTTATAAAAGGAAAGACGAGTTGGTGTACTTGCGGTACGAGGCGAACCGAACGAAAACCACCTTGAGAAACATGTGACTTCTGCTCCGAGGGGATTCGTGCTCCTTCTCCTATCCTCAGATATTAACATTTTGATACCTTAGTTGCAGGTAAAGACTGAGGATTTGGAACGCCTTTGGGGCGAGGTTGGCCAGGCCAGGCACGAGTGTAACGAGCTAAGGGCTCAAATAGATGCCCATGTTACGGCCAAGAAGAATGCTCTAGCCAAGGTTTCTGCCATCGGGGTGCAGATCCAAAATGCTCGTGAAAACAGCTCGGTGCAGACGAGCAGGATTGCAAGGCTCGAGTACGACCTTTTGGAGATGAAGGCCAAGGTCGTGGATGCCCGAGCAGAAGCTGAAGAGATCTGGGCTAAGGCCGACAAGAAGGTGGTTGTCTATTTAAAAGACGGTGCCGAAGCTCGGGCTGAGCTGAGAGGGGCTTCTGATCGAGAGAGCAGAAGCAATGAATATGCCCGGTGTAAATCTCGGAGGGAAACCCTCGAAGAGATTCACGTTAGGGGCTTCGATCTCTCGGAAGAGATAGCTTAGGCCAAGGCGGATGAATACTATGCCAAATTCCTCGTATCTGACGTCGAAGATAGTGGAGAAGGGGCTGATGGGGCCGCAGTCCCCGAGGGGTAGATAGACTAGGCTTTTTCTTTTTGATTCTTTGTACAGGGCTCTCAGAGAGAATTTGCCGATTTAGATTTTGTATTTTTTTTGCATATACGTATAAAAGGAAACCTTTTGGCTTTTTCTTTAGTGCATTTCCCTCTGTTTGCGCATGTCTTTCTTTTATACATT